TGAACCCAGTGCCTTGCGCATGCCAGGCAAGCATGCTACGTACCACTTGGGCCACATCCCCAGCCCTTTATTTTACTTTTTATTTTTGAGAGAGGGTCTTGCTAAGTTGCAGAGAYCAGCCTTGAATTTGTAATCCTCCTGCTTCAGCCTCCCCAGTGGCTGGATTGCAGATGTGTGCCACTGAACCCAGACAGAATAAATATTATATACCTCAGCTTCTACTATTTTACACACCATGCCTGGAAATCAATAACAAATTACAAGTAACCCAAAAAAGCAAGAAAAACAACTCACTATAAAGAAGCAAAGTAATCAATAGGACCAGACCTAGAAATGACCCAGATATTGGACATATCAAACTAACAATTTAAAATAATTACAGTGTGCGGCCTGGGTTCGATCCTCAGCACCACATACAAACAAAGATGTTGTGTCCGCCGAAAACTAAAAAAATAAATATTAAAATTCTCTCTCTCTCTCTCTCTCTCTCTCTTTAAAAAAAATAAATAAAAAATAAAATAAAATAAAATAATTACAGTGGAATTGGGGGTATAGCTCAGTGGTAGAGTACGTGCCTAGCAGGTATAAGGCCTAGATTTGATCCTCAGAATCTCCAAAAAATAAAGATTAAATAATTATGATTAATACATTGAAGTCTCTAGTTAAAGTTAGGGAGCAAGTGGGAACAAATATGGAATTTTATTTTGTTACAAGGGATTGAGCCCAGAAGCACTTAACCACTGAGCCACATCAGCAGCCCTTTTTATATTTTATTTAAACATGGGGTCTCTCTGAGTTGCTTAGTGCATCAATAAATTGCTAAGGCTGGCTTGGAACTCGMGTTCATACTGACTTAGCCTCCSGAGCTGCTGGGATTATAGGCATGCACCGTGACGCCTAGCTAAATATAGAATTTTAGTAGAAAAATGAAAACATGAGTCAAAATGGAAGAAAGTAAAACATACCAGAGCATCTAAGAGCYATGGGACAATATACAATAGTTAAGGTAAATATTAAAAAGAAAACATTGTTGATTATTTTCAGTTGCTTAGAATATAACTGATGCCTACAGCAAAAACAGTAGCAATGCGTAACATACTTAAAAGTATAATGTCTAACAACAATAACACAAAAAATAAGTGGGAAGAATTGGGAGCATACTGTTTCTTTCATGTGAAGCAATTCAATAATATTTCAAGGTAGACTGAGCCAAGTGCAGTGGCATGCGCTTGTAATCCAAGCTAATGGGGAGGCTGAGACAAGAGGATCACAGTTTCAAGGCTAGCCTGAGCAATTTAGTGAGGTCCTAGGCAACTTAGCAAGACCCTGTCTCAAAATCAAAAATAAATAAATAGGGCTGGAGATGTGGCTCAAGCGGTAGCGTGCTCGCCTGGCATTCGTGAGGCCTGGGTTCGATCCTCAGCACCACATACAAATGAAGATGTTGTGTCCGCTGAAAACTAAGAAATAAATAATGAAATTCTCTCTCTCTCTCAAAAAAAAAAAATGTTGCTTTCAAAAAAAAAACAAACAAATAAACAAATAAATAAATAAATAAACAAGGGGCTAGGAATGTGACTCAGTGGTAGAATGCCTCTGGAATTAATCCCCAGCACCACACACACACATACACACACACACACCACACTCACTCACTCACACAAAAGAAGGAAGAAGAAAGAAAGAAAAAATAAAACAGGTTTCATTAAATTATTCAATGTACCTGATAAGGTCCAATCTTGAAATAACAGTGTTAAGCCCAGATAAAATGCATTTAGGTATGTTGGCACATGCCTGTAATTCCAGTCACTTGGGAGGCTGAGGCAGAAGGACTGCAAGTTCAAAGCCAGCCTCAGCAATTTAGCAATAGCCTGTCTCAAAACAAAAAATAAAAAGAACGGGGATATGACTCAATGGTATAGCACACCTGAGTTCAATCTAAAAAAAAAAAAAAAAAAAAAAAAGACATGCAGGAGTCCCTGGGTTGGATCCCCAGTGCTGAAAAAAAGGGGAAGACAAAACAGTTTTTCTAACAGATTTCATCCCAATTCTGCAGCTAATTCAGTAATTTACCAGACCACTAAAATTTCCTGATGAAAACAACCATGAAACTATCATGTGCAATTTCTGAAGAAAAAACAGACATCAAAGTTTGATTACAAAGAAAGTTTTTATTATAACTTCCAATCAAAAGACAAAAATCATATGGCCCTTATGTTTGCCTTTGTACTTAGAATATCAGAAAACTTAGGATCAAATTTAGCTCCCAATCATAGTAGATAAGATGCCTGTATTTCAACAGTGTTTGCTACCTAGTCTTTCCCATGGCTTTAGTTTGCTCTATTTCTCTTTTTTTTATTTTATTTTTTTAGTTGTAGATAGACACAATACCTTTATTTTGTTTATTTTTATATGGTGCTAAGGATCGAACCAGTGACAGCCCCAGTTCTCTCTATTTCTTTTTTAACAACCTCATTAAAAGTATCTTTAATTATAAACCACCATAATTACTTTTTAGAAAGAGATATAAATATGTAACTTGTATAATAAATTAGTGTTACATAACATGTAATATTAAAGAGTTGTTAGTGATGTATAAACCATTTTCTTTATTAGTAATACATTCATATTTTATTCAAATAACTAAAACTTTTATAAATCATAAAGATCAAAGAAAGTCAATATAGAACAGAGCAACATTATTTACCTGTCACAAAAATCACACTTTTATAAACTGATTCATCAGGTAAACTACTGAGAAGAAAATGAAGTCTCTACAGCAAGTGCAAATTCCATTTATCTGTTGTGGCCAGTCTATCTCTGCAACAAAGAATATGAGGCAATTTATCAAAAAATGAACCTAGGGGCTGGGGCTGTAGCTCAGTGGCAGAGCACTTGCCTAGCATGTGTGAGGCACTGAGTTCAAGCCTTAGCACCACAAAAAAATAAATAAATAAAATAAATGCATGCTACTCATCTATAACTAACAACAACAAAAAAATTTTTAAATGAACCTAGTAAACAGGAGGATACTTCCCTTTGTAAAATCTAGATTTTACATACCAAGCCAGGCATAGTGGCACATGCCAATAATCCTAATAGTTTAGGAGGCTGAGGCAGAAGGATTGCAAGTTCAAAGCAGCCTCAGCAAGTTAGCAAGGCCCTAAGCAACTTAGTGAGATCCTGTCTCAAAAAACGGGAAAAAAAGGGGCTTCAGATGGGCTGGGTTTGTGGAAGAGCACTTGCCTAGCATGTGTGAAGCACTGGGTTCAATTCTCAGCACCAAGTATCAATAAATAAAATAAAGGTCTATTGACAGCTTAAAAAGAAAAAGGGCTGTGGATGTGGTTCAATGGTTAAATACCCCTGTGTCCAATCCCCCCTCCAAAAAAATAGACTTTACATGCCCGTTAGAGGCAGCCCTCCTTTTCTGAGTTCCATCATACCCACAGCAGGGATGTAACTGAAGCAATCAGCCCAAACTTCAAAAAAGGAGCCTGATTATCTGAAATCATGCATGTCTAGGCAGCTGCTGCTCCAGAGTCCCAGGTCCCATGAACACTGTTCGCATAACTTTTGTAGAAACATCTCCATATCCTAGAGACTGCAGCAGGAAACACAGAGGTCAGGAAATTTCCTCTCTCAAGAAGTTCCATTTGATCCTCAACATGGCAAAAAAAAATTTTAAATACAGGGAAGATGAATCACATATCTGGTATACACTTTTGGTGTTCAATAAAAATATGCTCACAGCCAGATAAAGGGAGGAGGTAGAAATGAACAAGATAAGGAAAAAAAAAATCAGGCTTGCGGTTTTCCACATATTTGCCAGGAAAAGAAAATCAAATATAACAACACAAATAACAACCCTGAGACCAAAGTCAGGAAGCAAAAGCCATCAGTGTACAACCACAATGGGACCTGAAAAATGTAGGCAGCATGGGCAGTTTCCTGAAGAGCCCCACCAGGTAAAAAGAGGCAAAATGACCCCAGGAAGCAGTCAGCCTGCTCTCCTAGATCTTAAATCGGGGAATAAGGCACCAGATGGCTTAGCATATTCTGCTACCTTGCTGCTACATTAGCTAGCCAAGTGGGCCATTTTTTTCTCCATCAAGGGCAGAGACTGAGTTCTTTTTAATTTGTGTCACCACGTACATAGACCAGTGCCCACGAGAGGTTCTCCAAGACATCTGTTAAATTAGATGTTGACTCCTATTTATACTGACCATTACACAACATGATGACCAGGCTGTTGGCTTAGCGCTCAGTGGAGAATTTTCAAAATGTTTCACAAATATCTCCTGACAGTTATGACACGAGCTGGTCAAATGAGATGACAGGATATAGAGACACTCAGAGGAACCATTAATAACGGGAGCATCCTGTTCCCGAGCTCCAATATCACAGCGCTCCAAGCCCTGACCTCCAGGCAAGGGTTGAAGCAACCCCAGAAGCGTGGTTCCCGCCTTCGCACACTTCCGTCCTTGCACCCTCGGACCTWTACTCGCTCAACGTGTCACACAGCACAGGTTGTTTCTCACAATCGGCGTCTCTCTCTCTCGGAACAACTTATTCCTAGTCTCTCACCCTCACGATCTCTCCCTCACACACCCACGAAGGCTCTCTCACACCCGTGGTTTTTCTCAACTTAAAAGACCCTACTCAGGGTCTCGCACACTCACAAAGGCAACACCAGACCCTAGGGGTCTCCTCTCTCTCTCTCTCTCTCTCTCTCTCACACACACACACACACACACACACACACAGTCTTTCTCACACACTCAGTCGTACACTCAGGGTCTCCCGAACTCCTGGCGTCACCCTCAAGCTCCAGGTCCCTCTTACACTCACAGCGTCACCCTCACGCGGCTGCGGCCCGCCCCGCGCAGTTTCCGGCCGGCATCCAGCACGCGGCGGCGGCGGCGGCGGCAGCACGGAGGGTTCAGCCCCGCGGGAGGCGGTCCCTGCCCCTCCCCGCCCTACGCCCCGCGTCCCTGCGTCCCCGCGCTCCAGCTCCCCGGCCCGCAGCCCGGCCCGTTACCTCTCGGTGGCCAGGCGCCGCCAGGATGCTCGGTCGCCCAGCCGCACGGCCGCAGGGGCCGCTCAGGCCCCGCCCCCGCTCCCGCCACGTCACCCGCCACCGGATCGCGACAGCGCGCGCTACGTCGGGACAGGGCTCTTCGCCGCAGCCTCTGGCGGCGTCGCTTCCGGGCCCCAGACAATGCCGCGGCATCCACGATCCCGGGCCCGGCCCCTACGTGCAGATTCCTGGGCTGCCCCCAGCCTACCGCGTCGAGACTGGTGTGGACCTTGAGTTGGGCCCAGCCACCCTTGTCTTGGATGGTCACTTACAGACCCTGCATGCAGTCACAGGAAGCCTGGGGGGGTGGGGGGCTCCACATTCACCCGGATGCTACAATTCGGAGCTGTAGAGGGCCCGCATACCTTGTTCCCATCTGGTCCTTAGCTGGGGGACCCCACATCCAAAGAGTCAAACAGTTCACTTAAAGAGCTCCCAACAGGCACAACCCAGGACTTGTCCTTGCACACTTTGCTCAGACTCAAATCACTGAGGCCCTGGCAGACACAGTCACTGCCGGCTCCCTTAGCAAAATCTGGCCCCCCACCCCCATGGCTCTGTCCTCTTTCTGCCCAACCCTGGTGGTGCCCCTCTTTGATGAGTTGCATCCTTCTGTCCTCTTCCTCTCCTCCTGACCTCATGGGCTCCTGGGCCCTCCCCTTTGGTTTCCTGTCTACCTCAGGCAATGAATCTACTGGGTCATTCATTCATTTCTCCCAGTTGTATGTTGACAACTGCACATCCTCTAGCTCCAGACTACACTCAGATGCTTGCTCCCCTCCACCTAGTGGTCCAGCAGCACCTGATCTCTTCATCCTCTCTGTCCCCAAGGCTACAAGCATTGCTTTTCTTCTGGGCTACAATAGCCTCCCAATCCCTATCCTGCTCTAACCCATCTATGCAGGATAAGAAATGATCCTAAAATACAGATTGTAATAACTTTGAGCCTCCCCTAAAAACTTTTCCATTTCCTCTGAACAGCTGCAAGTGGGAGGCTGAGACAGCAGGAGCACAAATTCAAAGCCAGCCTCAGCAACATCAAGGTATTAAGCAACTGATTGAGGCCCTGTCTCTAAATAAAATACAAAATAGGGGTGGGGAATGTGACTCTATGATTGAGTACCTGTGAGTTCAATCCCCGGTACCGCCCCCTCCCCCCAAAAAAACCTTTTCCATTCCCTGTCCTACCCACCCATAGGCCTGGGATGACAGTCTGAGGAGCCCTTGATAATGCTAACTTCTTTTGTCCTCTGCTTAGAACAACTTCCATAAGTATAAAGGACTATATATACATATTTGGGTTAGTACATCTGACCCTTTACCTCCAGGACCAGCTCCTCCAGCCTCTCTGGCCAGGCAGAGGGACAGTTCTGGACACTTTTGAAACTTGGTAGCAGCCAGTCCACTTGTCCTTGCAACAATTGCATACGTAAACCTGCTGGCTTCCAAACCTCTGGCTTTGCTGTGTCACAAGCAACCCATCAACTGAAAGCCCACGGCACCAGGGACTCAATCAGATATTCTCCAACACTATCAGTGCTTCACAGCACCCCCCTGCAGGATATATTTATTTAGCCCAGGAAACAGACTGAGGAGGGCCACAAGGCTGCCCAGGCTACCTGACGGGAACTGGTAGAGCTGGGATTTGTCATCCTTTTACAGAGGGCAGTTCTGCAGCTGGTCTGTGTATTCCCAGGTATCTTCATCCCCTCTCTGGGTCACCCCTTTTATCCAAGTCCTACTAACATGGTACTATAGTTAGTCCTGAGAGGGCGTGAGCGCCTTCTAGTGGCCAACACTGTATCAAAGTCTGGAGTGTAGGCTGAGGGGTTCTGTGAGACAGGAACTGGGGCTCCTATCAACCTTATTGGCCCCAGGCTTTCCAGTACCAGGTTCAGTCTGGGACCCCATCCCTATGTATGTTTCCTCTCTACCATTTGTTTGGTCCCATCTCTCTTTGCCTATACCAGTCTCAGCCTAGCCTCTCTGCTTCCCTCAGTCTCTGTCCCAAAGTTAAGGTTCAGTCCCTGATAACCTGCCTCTCTAGTTGTCCACACACTTCCATAACCTCCCTCTTCTCATGCTCAGAGTAGTCCAGGACACTTTACAGCATTCAGAATATTTTTATTGCCAGTATCTAGATACAGCCTGCTCAGAGCCCCATACAGGGATCACCACCCAGGAATAAAGGAAGAGACAGATGCTGGACATGTGTACAACATGGAAAATCTAGAATTGTGAAATCTGGTGGTACAACAATGCAGACCAGCCTGAAGGTGGCTTTGGACCTAGATCTCAGCCTATAGCCACATGCCCATTTGGCACCCACTGCCATTAGGCAGGTCCAGATTCTCCATCCCAGCTATCACAGGAGACCATATAGCATCCCTGGGGCAGACAGAAAACCCCTAGATGGGCCCTAGGCTCCTGGCTCTCAAGTCTCTGGGCTAGACCCTGGAAACTAAATACCATTCAGCTTCCTGGGAGGAGGTGCTGGGCAGTGGGTCAGAAACCCACTACCTCTCAGCCCTGTGCCAGCCCAGCTAGGTTCTAAGAGACCCTAGCAGGATGGTAATGTGGTGGTAGGGTTTGCAAGAGGGCACCTCAAGGCAGCTCTGAGCAACCATGGTTGCTTCCTTCAGTTCCCTAAAAGGTCATGGCACTGGGCACAGCTCTCCTTGAACCACAGTCCCAGAGCCAAGGGAACCAGCTTCAATACTAGGACTGACACAGCACAACCAAGGGGATCAGGACTTCTGGGACATAGCCCCCAAAACTGAGGGAGCATCTGCTGCCTGATCCAGAGTAGGCTGCTCCTGGAGGTGAGAGGTAGGAGTGGAGTATATGCCCCTGGATCTGGGAACCATGGAAAACAAAACAAATTGCCCCTGCCTGCAGGGGGTACCAGGCTACCCCATGAAGCCTACCCCATGGCCTGAAGTCAGGCCACTGTGTCTACCAGTGAGGCCACAGGGAAGCCAGCAGCTCCAGCCACCCATGGCCAACAGCAGGCCTACTTGAGGCCAGCATGTGAAAAGGGTCACCCTGGGACCTGTGGGGGCAGGGACCATTGCTAAGTAACATCTCTCACAGGAAGTCCAAGGGCCAGTGGTCAAGTTTGGAAAGGCCATAGGGGTAGAAGGAATGTATGACCCCCAAGTTGGAGATTGGGGCCAGGTACCAACCAATCCACCCCGCAGAGCCCATTTCTGAGGTCACAACAAATCCAACAGCAGCAGCATTCTTTCTATAAGTGTCCCTTGAGTCCATGCTTATTTTCTCCTTCTTCACTACCATAGAGGAAGGATAAGAAACAGTACTTTCTCAAGGCAGATAATCCAAAGCCCAAGACCCAGGAGCTTGATGACAGTCCCAGAGACTGGGGGAAACCCCATGGCCAAGCCATTCAGCAGCCCTGCCTGGCACAGAAATCAGGGCCCAAGGAGCACACGTTTCAGATAGGCCAGGGTAGTGGCATTGGATAGCATCTCAATGTGCTCACTGCCTGGTAGCTCCTGCAATGACACTTGGTGCTCCTGGAGGTTGTGCCAGGCCTGGCACTGCAGGACACTCTCCAAGTTCACAGTGCCATCGCCATCACCAAAGCAGATTTTAGGGTCGCGATCAGGGAAGTTCTCATAGTAGAAGGAGTCTGGTGTGGGGACACCAGTGCCATAAAGGCAGTGCAGCTGCACACCAGGTGGCACCATGGCTTCAACCAGCCCCTCTGTGTCCTGCCGCATGAGCCAGCCATCTTCAAAACCAATGTCCTGGAAGAACCGTTGATAATCTCGCAGTGTGTAGTTGGTTGTAGGTGTGTGTACAAACACCTTCTCAGGTGACCAGGTATGATTGTAGGGCAGTAGCCAACTGGTGGAGACTGCAGACCGCTGCTGCTCCCGGATCTTCAGAGGCCCAATGACAGGGATGCGGTTGTTGTCTCCTGCAGGGAGAGGACTTCAATCAGTTCTGTGCTGATGAACACAAATAGGATGGGCAGCAGGTTCAGGATCATGTCCTCTGCTGGATCCCAGGCAATAGACACAACACAATGCCTTTATTTTTATGTGGTGCTGAGGATCAAACCCGGGTCTTGCGCGTGCTAGGCCAGCGCTCTACCACTGGGCCACAATCCCAACCCTTAAACYTTTGATTCTCCTGCCTCAGCCTCCCAAGTAGCTAAGATATTATTTTCCTTTATTTTTGCTACAATTATTTAGGAAGCGAATCCAAGCTTTGTGGGKTTTTTTTGTTTTGTTTGTTTTTGTTGTTGTTTGTTTTGTTTCTTTTGCATTTCCTCACAAGGGATTTAGGCAATACACCATCTCCCCTTCTTCCTAGTGATTTATTTTATTCCTCACCTGTAACTGGTACCCTCCTCCAAACATGTTATCACCACACCTGTGGGCACTGGCTTTGTCTAAGGTGAAGCAATAGGTCCTCTCTATCACATTGAACTATGTACATGTTGTTTTCTTCCTAAGCTCAGAACAGAATTCAGCCAGCCTGATCTCATCCCACCTACCTGCCTGTGCACTGATCTGGTGGCCATGATTATTGAAGACAGGGCAGGAGGGGAAGCTACAGACAGAGTCAGACCTTCACCTACTGGAATGTAACACCACAAACACACCCATCAGCCAGTGAGACCTCTAGGGGTGACCTGAACTTGGAGACAGGGGCCACAATATCTGAAAACAGAAACCATATGACCTTAGCTCTGCCTGCTGTGGACTTCTATAAGATTCTGAGGAAAGGGATGCCCCTAGGGGTTCACCTTCCCACATCCCACCCCCTACTCCTGGACTGCCAGTGCTGACAATTTTCTAGCATCTGAGGAAAAGGAAGAAACTCTGAAATGGGCTGGGGCCTGAACTCCATCATGGCACCCAGTCCTGAATGTCTGAGTCATGACCTCATTATCCAGACAACTCAGGTCGCTGAGACAGGCGCTGGGCCTGACCCAATCATAATGAATAGTTGACCAGGCAGTCAGACAGTGCTAATGACTGGAGGAAGCCTGGCATGGTCCTGGCTCAGTCCCCAAAGTGAAGGTCCTCAGGGCTCCCACACAGTCCTGGCAAAGGGAGAGAAACTTCTTCCTAAAGCAGGAACTAGAAAGTTCTGACAGTCATGGCTACAACTAGAAAGTTCTGACAGTCATAAAAAGGCAAGTGGATTACGGAGGAACCAACAAGGTGGTGACTTTCCCAACTGCCAAGACAAGCAGGCCCAGCCAGATCTGCACCTGCTTCCTCCCTGCATTACCCACAGAGGCTCCCCCCTGCCCACAGATGGAGGTACAACTCATAAACAGGAAATGGTGGTCCAGTCTTCCTCCTCAGGAGCACAGGTGAAGATGAAGAAGTGAGGATGCAGGCGAGGGAGAATGAGAAGACATTTGAGACAAAAAAAGTTCAGCAGCCAGACCTAGCAATGTGTGTGCACGTATATGTTTGTGGTGTATATGTACATGCAAGTGGCTGTGAGGCCAGCAGTTGTGCCTCTCCAAATACAAGGTGTGAGAAATACAGATTACAAGGGCTATCAATTAAAGATGTGAAATTAGTAGTAGTATTAGATCCTCTTTTAGAAAAAAAAAAAAAAGATATTTGAAAAGGAATGTTGCTCTGGAGAAAGAAAGGCACTGAACCAAGGAAGTGACATGAAGGGTGTTGGCCTAGCAGGAAGGAGAGAAAGGAGTCATTCCTGGGACTAGCCACCCACACTGGGCCAGGTAGGTCTTACCTGAGGCCAGGACGCGCAGGGTCTTGGCCACGCCCCCCCAGGGAGCTCCCAGTGACACAAAAGCACGGATATACTTGTCCTTCCAGGCCTGTGGTTGCCGCTGCAGAAAGTAGAGTGTGTACATGTTGCCCATACTGTGGGCAACCAGTACCACAGGGCCCCCATACAGCTGGTACATCTCCTCGATCATCTCTCGGAGGGCCAGGAAGTAGGGCCCGTTTTCATCTGCAGGCCAGAGCCAAGCAGGGGTCAGGCAGGAAGGGTCCTGGGGCTTGCACCACTGACCATTCTTCAGGCCAGACCCAGGACTAGAGGGTGGGGAGAGTGCTAAAACCCAAATGGAAGCAGTCTGGTTCCCCACCAGCTTCTATAAAGGGAGGACAAAGGGGCCCCTTTTCCCRTCAGTCTTATCTATCAACCCTCCCAAGGGTTCAGAGGCCCAGAGGTCCTGGGATAAGGGATGGGGAAGAATAGGACAAGATTGACCAGGGGTATAGGTGTGACCACAGGGGCCCAGAGATAGGGGAGAGCCCAGGGCTGAGAGCTCAAGACCTATGGCAGCCATGATTGCCTTCTGCCCACCTCCCAGAACCTTGAGGAAGGAATGAGGGTGACTTCTTACTTGGGGCTCGGCGCCAGTCATAGGGGGCCCCTCGGACATCTTCACCCTGTGTGTAGCCCCAGCCTACAAGGCTCTCCACCATGGTGTGGAAATAGGAACCTATAGACAAAAATATGCAAGATTAGAGAAGGTACAGCTAGCACCAGACACCCACACCACTACTGACACAAAAACTGTGATGTCTCCCAAATGGATCTCTGGAGGAGGAGTATAGAGCTCTGTGCCCACACTGATCAGAGATAGCTCACAGGTTACCCCTTCAAACCAGTGGGGTTCCTCCAACTTGAGGAGTCCAGCAAAGGCTCTAGCCCCAGCCCCAGGAGCTACATACCCACACTGCTTTTGCTGGGGTCCAGGAACTCCAATGAGAAGGTCTTCCCAAAACCAGGGACACGCACGTCCACACCATCAGGAAACTGGGTGGCCCGGGATGTTCTGTTGTAAATCAGCCTGTTGGGAGAGAATAGTGATCTGGTGATCCAGAGATAACATTAAGCTTGGTGTGTCCCAATACTGCCCTGTGGGGCAGAAGATATGGCTCAATGGCAGAGCTAAATCTCCAACTACCATAAGAAAGCCTGGCTTGCTCAGCACACACAAGGCCCTGTGTTTGAACCTTAGCACCAAAAAACAAAATGAGGAAACTGATATGGGGACCTGAGTCATACTCCCTTCTCATCCCCAGGGTTTAGTTAGATCTAAAAAAAAGAGACCAAAAAGTAACAAAGCATGTTTATAAAGCATGGATCAGAATAACCACATCCAGGGGGCTGAGGTTGTGGCAGGGGGGTAGTGTGCTTGTCTAGCATGCATAAGACACTAGATTCGAACCCCAGCACCACATTAAAAAAAAAAAAATGAAATAAAGATATTGTGTCCTCCTACAACTAAAAAATAAATATTAAAAAAAAAAAAAAACCACATCCAAACAAGAATCCCTCACTGAGGCTTACACCAAAGATTGACCACAGGACTCATGTCAAAGCAAAATTCCCTTCCCTCTAATGTCATTCACCCTAGAATGAGGTCCTGGACCAGCCAGAAGGAAGTGCCAGTCCTAGCTCTGCTGTGAACTTCACTCTTGACTCCAGAAAGCAGCCCATCTTGCAAGCTCCCATCACTCCCTCCCTGTAGATCTAGCTCTTGCCACCCAACAATGCATCACAGGGCAAAAGAGATGGTGAGTATAGCACATAACGGAATCAGACAGGGACCCTACCTCAGGGCCTTATGACTGTAGCTGCTAGGAGGGTGGGAGTATAGGAAGGTAGACAAAAACCCAGAGGAATGTCATGGCTAGATAAAGGGACAGAAGAAAAGCCTTGTGCAGACTCATGTGGGTATAGCTGGGTCCCTCTTGCTTTAGGCATTAGACCCAGTAGCCAGCCTCATCCCAATCATACCATCAACAGAAGACAAGAATGAACCATGTTCAAATGACTTGCTTAGTATCCCAAGGATATAGATGGATGGAGATATACAGATGGGTAGATATATATTGCATATATCTATATTTCACCTGCCAGTGACTATAACACACAGGATTTGGCCAACAATCTCCTAAAACCATRACATACATGCCAGTTGCTTTTGTTAATTTTCTATTGATATAGATAATTTCTATAGCTACAGTGCAATACAGAACCAGACACGAGGGACCCCCMACTTCAGGACTGAATACATGGCTGCTCTACCCTCTGCTTCAGGTAGGGAGCTGGGAAGGCTTAGAGGAATGATGGGAACGTGGGGTTGGGGGCAAGATAGAAGAAAACTCTTGTGCCAGGCTAGGACTCCTACTGTGGCCTTGTTGCCCAAGAAAATGTGAAGTTACCACCCACCCCCTCAAAGATCAGCCACAGAGGCTTTCTGGTACTTACCACAGGCTGTATTCTTACACCGACTGTATACAAAGTGGAAGAAGAGTAAACCTGTCCTCTATATACCTCAGCCCAGGCCTTGTACCTGGCCTATATTATGAATGGGGGGATGTTGGGGGACAGGGATCACAAAAAGCTGACAAGATCCCCAGCACTGACCCAAATAATAGGTCCTAGGGGCCCATTCTCCTCATTCTATAGATTATCCCAAAAGCCATCCAACAAAGTGCAGAAAATTGTTCTAGAAAATCAAAGCAGGGGCTGGGGTTGTAGCTCAGTGGTAAAGCATTTGCCTAGCATGTGTGAGGCACTGGGTTTGATTCTCAGCAATATATRTAAAATAAATAATAAAATAAAGGTCCATCAACAACTAAAAAAAAATTAAAGAAACAAGAAAATCAGCCAGGAGTGGTGAACATGCCTATAATCCCAGTGGTTCAGCCAGCTGAGACAGGAGGATCATGAGTTCAAAGCCAGCCTCAGCAAAAGCAAGGTGCTAAGCAACTTGGTGAGACCCTGTATCTAAATAAAATACAAAAGGGCTGGGGATGTGGCTCAGTAGTTGAGTGCCCCTGAGTTCAATCCCTGGCATCCAAAGGGGAAAAAAAAAATAAAAAAGAAACCAAAGCAGTTTTGTTTAAAAATCTAAACAGGTCAGAGGCTCAACAAAGGCAGACAAGCCCCTCTCAGTAACCGCGCACGCCTCCAGTTGGCAGTACCTAAGGCCATGTCTTCAGTACAAAAATAGAAATGAAGATCAACAGCCCAGAAATAACCCTGATCACACACAAATCAGACACTGAGGAAAAAATAGTGAACAAAGCAGGCAACATAAACAGGGAAAACAGGGTACCTGGAGAAGTAGCCAGTAGGTATCTGGGGAAAACTTTAAATTCGTGAAAGTTTATTGAGCATGAGTGTTCTTGCTTCTACTGCTATAAAGACAGTTATAATCCCTGCCCTCAGGGAAGTCATTGTGGGATAGAACATTAACCTGGAGTCACACAATTTCTGAGTTTGAATTCTGATTTTGCCACTTATTAGCTGAGGGAGTAGTCAATTTTGTAACTTTTTTGAGTTTCCAGATTTCCTTAGTCCAGAACTAAGAAAATCTTAGTCTTGTTTTGAGGTGTTGAGGATGGAACCCAGGACCTTGTACAGGTCAGGGAAACACTTACTAGCCAAACCTCCAGTCCCTGGAAAGTAAGTTTAAAAACAGCACTCGTTGCTTAGTGTGGTGGTACTCACCTGTAAACCAGTGACTTGAGAGGCTGAGGCAGGAGAATCAATGCCCAGTACCAAAACATTCTGAGAAATGGGTCATTTGGCAATTTCATTGTGTGATCTGTTATGATTATATATGAGTTATCCCTAGAAAGCTCACATATGAGGCAATGCAACAAATTTCAGAGGTGAACTGATTAGGTCATAAGCATAACCTAATATATATATATATATATATATATATATATATATTTTTTTTTTTTTTTTTTTTTTTAGTTGTAGACGGACACATATCTTTATTTTTTTATGTACTGCTGAGAATTGAACCTAGTGTCTCATACGTGCTAGGCAAGTGCTCTATCACTGAGCTAGAATCCCAGCCCCCAGGTATATATTTTGTCCCTTCTGAGTAGAGCACTCTCTCTCTCTCTCTCTCTTTTTTAATATTTATTTTTTTTTAGTTTTCGGTGGACACAACATCTTTGTTGGTATGTGGTGCTGAGGATCGAATCTGGGCCACACACATGCCAGGTGAGCTCGCTACCACTTGAGCCACATCCCCAGCCCTAGAGCACTCTCTATCTCTCTGCTTCCTGGTGCCATACTCCCCGCTACTTTCTTCCACCACACACTTCCACCTCAGGCCAAGAGCAATGGAGTCAGCTATCTATGAGCTGAGACCTCTGAAACTATGAGCGCCAAAATAAACTTTTCCTCCTCTAATTGTTCTTTCCAGGTCTTTTGGTTACAGCAACAAAAAAGCTAACTAAAGCAACATCATAGAGTGTATCAACATGGCATAGTATTTGGCAGTAACCCCCCCTTTCTTTTAATAAGTATGAGTACACTCTAAAATAACAAAATATTGTATAAGTAAATACATAGATCAGTAATATAGTGGTTTACTATTATTATTTTTTTCATATTTTTAAATTTTTAGTTGTAGGTGGAAACAATACATTTTTTTTTTCACATGGTGCTGAGGATTAAACCCAGTGCTTTACGCATGCTAGACAAGCGCTCTTCCTGAGCCACAACCCCAGCTCCTGGTTTACTATTATTATCAAGTATTATGTGACTCTGGAAGCTGAGGCAGGAGGACCACAAGTTCAAGCCAGCCTCAGCAAAAACGAGGTGAGACCCTGTCTCTAAATGAGATACAAAATAGGGCTGGGACTCAGTGGTCCAGTGCCCCTGAGTTCAATCCCCAGTACCCACGCCCCCCCCAAAGTATTATGTACTGGGTTATTTACACCAGCACCACCATAAAAGATGCATAATACATTTCATTATTAGGTTAAATGGTTACATCACTAAGTGATAGTATTTTTTTAGCTCCATTATAATCTTATGAAACCACCATTACATATGCAGTCTGGGATTGAATGTGGCATAAGACTGTATACAAAATGTACAGTACCTATATTTAATTTTGGGGAATCATCCTTTTAACATAGTTTGGCACTTGATGGTTAAAGGAAGCATTCATGCGGCCTGGGGAAGGATTGGCAGGAGAGACTTCATAAAGGAACTATGGTCAGGTTTTCAAGGGTAAATGGGAGAGAATTTATCAGATGAAAGTGTACAAGTAAATTCCATGTGGAAAAAACAGCATGTACAAAGACATGGAGACACAGCACATCCTAGGAAGAACAAGCAGCTACAGAGGCAGTTGTGACCAAGACCCAGACAAAGGGAACAGTAGAGCCATAGATAGGGGCTGGACGAGGCATAGAAACTCTATGTGTAAGGTCTGAAGGGTAAGGGCTAAACTGGAGAGAGGAAGGACAAGAGCAACAGAAAGAGGAAGAGAGTTCTTCCTAGCAGAGTGCAGAGGTGGCTGACTGACCAGATCAGAACAGATTGAGGGCCTGGGGAGGGAGAGGTCACTGACCTCAAGGTCTCTTGAGATAGAGATGAGAAGGAAATGGACTCTGAAGGCCTTCCTGGGCCCCACGGGTGAGGGTACCTGTCCATGTGCCCCAGCCCCCACCTGATATTGTCAATCCAGCAGTCAATGATGACAGGCAGCAGCAGTTCGAGGTTCAGCCAGAGAGTGAAGTAGCTGTCGGTCCTCTTGGAACAAAGGTAGTGCACTACGGAGGGCTTGTCCAGCTTTGCTTCCAATTGGTTACCCAAATCACCAGGCACTGTGGGGGTACAAAGGACATCTGTGAACTCTGGCAAGCTGGAGACCCCCAAGAACCTTCAAGTCTACAGCAGGACTGCCTCCTCTCTGCAGAGCCATGGACATAATGACAGACCTCTGCAGTTCCACTCTGCAAATTAAAGCACAGGGCAGGAAAGTCAGAAAGCAGGGACCTTGATATAGAAGCCAGGGTATCACCTTCATGCAGATCAGCTATTACTGTTGTAGGGCACATACAGTAGCACAAAACAAAGCCTATGGGTACATACTCTGTGGAGAACTTGGGAGAGGCCTGACATGTTTGTGGGGAAGCCCCTAACATTCTCCCAAACTCCAGATAAAATAAATCTTCACTGGAACTTCCTCCTAGGCCATTCAGATTATTGGAAGGGGCTTTAGGGCAAAGTCACTTCCCCCTGCTAAGCTTCAGTTTCCTCATCTGACAAATAAGATCTTAACCTGAACCATCCCCCACAAGCATATACCGAGTTTCTTTTCTTTTTTTTCTAGTTTCTATAGTTAATGGATCTAAATAAGAGCTCTGACTAGAAGGAGCTTGGAGAACCCTCTGAGTTTTCTCAAATCCCTAAAATTTGGGCTGGGATTGTGGCTCAGTGGTACAGTGCTCACCTAGCATGCATGAGGCACTGGATTCAATCCTCAGCACAACATAACTGTAAAATAAAAATATTGTGTCCATCTAAAACTAATTTTTT